ACCTGGGAAATGTCTGCAAGGTCCAGCACCAAAGGAGGTGATGCAGAGTCCAGACGAGTTTGGAATTTATGAGGGAAGAAGAGAAGACCTATGTCATCTAGAAAACCCAGGGCGATGCAGGAGGGAAGTACTTTCAAAGGAAGGAGAAACCACAAAGATAAACTTTGCCCAGGTCACAATTTAGCCTGAACTTCACCAGGGAACGGCTGACCCAGTTTACTGAAGAATCTAAGCTGGGACAAATAACAGTAAGTTCCCTCACGTTCAGCTGTTGGGCTTTCTACCTCCTAGGTGGGGGGAAGGGAATCCTACCTGTTGGGGCTTCGATGCCCTGCAGACAAGCTAAACAAAATCACGAGGGTGATCCCTGCCTCCGCTCCATCTGCTCGTGAATGGAGAAATGACCCAGTGTCACCGAGCGATGTAGAACTAATGTTTGCTTAGCGTGCCTATGTGACACTTTAAAAAGAGACCTGCTCCAGCTCATTGCCAAGGTAAATTCTTTACGAAAGAAAACACCCAGGTTGGGCCCTAGGATGTGGAACTCCGGGACCTGTTGTTTACAGACCCTCACTCTTTGTCTAGGTCCCACCATTTGGCAACAGCGCTAAGATATAGTCAGCAGAAGCACAGCTGAGCTGGGAAAGGGGTAGAAATTATCTGAGAAACACCAGGCTGTGCAGGAGGGTGAGTGTGCACACCTGTAAATAACAGGAGCAGGATCACTCTGCACCTAAGTCCCACCGTTCCATCAGTCCAGTCTCTCCCACTTCCATCCACAGGAGTTCTGTGAAGACTTGTTCCAAAAAGTAGGAAAACAATCCTAGCAAAGGAATTCTCTTTAAAGCTCTATCCTGGGGACGCCTGGATGGCTCAAAGGTTGAGCATCGGCCTTCGGCTCCGGTCGTGATCCCGGAGTCCTGGGATAGAGTTCTGCATTGGGCTCCCTGCATGGAGCCTGCTTCTCCCTCTGTCTGTGTCTCTGCCTCTGTGTGTGTGTGTGTGTATGTGTCTCATGAATGAATAAATAAAATCTTAAAGTTATATCCTGAGCAATCCCAATATGACAATTTAACAGCCAAGCCACTTTCAAAGGTAGGGGTTGTAATAGGGGTTTTTTTTTTTTTTTTTGGACCTTCAAGAACATTAAAAATGAAGCCGTTTCATAGTGGGAGTGGTTTCTGAGTCACTACAGCTCATTATCATGAATGGGCTTTTTCATATGGTTAAGCAGTGGGTGAAAATAAAGAGAACAGCCATTTTTACTGGAATGTACACACTCCTACATGAAATAATCAGTAAACACAAAATAGCCTTTGTCGGCCTTAATGCTAGTAGCTCCTGACAACATTCATTCATGTGAACACTAATGTATGTGATAGGCACTTTGTTCTGATTTACTCAAACAAAAAGGCAGGAGTCCTACTTTTATCATTTCTCTCTGGGTCTGTGTTAATCCCTATGGTTAGGAGCACCTGGGTGGCTCAGTGGGTTAAGCGCCTGCCTTCAGCTCAGGTCATGATCCTGGGGTCTTGGGTTTGAGCCTCACGTCAGGCTCCCTGCTCAGTGGGGAGTCTGCATCTCCCTCTCCCTCTGCCCCTCCTCCTGCTGTGGTCTCTCTCCCTCTCAAATAAATAAAACCTTTTTACAAAATTAAATTAAAAAGTCTATAAAAAATTAATGGGTTCTTTATAACAAGAGATTAACTAGAAGACGAAGCTACGAATGACACCGACTCTTTTCTAAGATTTTATTTTTAAGTAACCTCTCTACCCCCACAGTGGGGCTCACACTCAAATGCAAGATGAAAAGTCACATGTTCACCGACTGAGCCAGGCAGGGGCCCGTTCTATTGTTTTATTAACCCAATCCATAATTGAGAAGGAAACTGAATACTTACATTTTCTTTTCTATTATTCAACTTAATTAGGGCTTTAACAAAATTCTTAGACTAAATGCACCATTTCACTTCTCCCCTAAAGATAATTTACCAGATTAAGTCCATAAAAATGACTTCACAGCGGGTGTCCCAGAACAGGTGATGGTTCTGAGAACGGCTCTGGGTTCCCGTTCCCCCTGCACAAGCGGCACAGGGGCTGCACGGACGCACACAGAGATGCCGTGTGCACCGCGGGTCTGGGGCAGGGTGGGGGGGACAGTAGCTGTTGGTCCCACATGTTGTCTTCCAAGTTTTCTACTCTAAAATCTCATGTTAAAAATAAAACAAATATGGGGATCCCTGGGTGGCTCAGTGGTTTGGCGCTGCCTTCAGCCCAGGGCATGATCTGGGAGTCCCGGGATCGAGTCCCACATCTGGCTCCCTACATGGGGCCTGCTTCTCCCTCTGTGTCTCTGCCTCTCTCTGTGTGTGTGTGTCCCTCATGAATAAATAAATAAAATCTATAAATAAATAAATAAATAAATAAATAAATAAATAAATAAATAAATGGCGCCTGGGTGGCTCAGTTGATTAAGCATCCGACTCTTGGTTTCAGCTCAGGTCCTGATCTTGCGGTTGTGGGATCGAGTCCCACGTCAAAGGTTCTGTGCTCAGTGCGGAGTCTGCTTCAGATTCTCCCTCTCGCTCACACACACGTACTCTCTCTTTCAAATAAATAAATAAAAACTTAAAAAAAATAACAAAATGAATACAGAGTCCGACATTCAACAGTGAATCGCAAGGACAGAAAGAACCTTCTCAAGATCCAGGGTTACTTGTGCTCCCACAGGCCTGGGAGAGCTGGCACAGTTTCTGTCTCCCCAGTTTTACTGCCAAAGGTCCTCCTATCTGTAAGAACACAGGGCTTTAAGGTGTCTCTAGAACCCCGCCTCACCGTATCTCTTCCACCCTGTTTTCCACAATATAAACCCTTTTATCCAGCCTGGTCTGCTTAAGACTCTGCATAATCATGGGCCCGGTGTTGACGGCCTCCCCTGTGGCTCTCCTCCAAAGCCTCTCTCAAAAACTCAACCAAACCTCAAATCTTGCTTCCTGATGTTGCTCATCACTGACCTATCCACTCACTCCTTTACCACTACGGGGTCTATTTCGCCACTGGTGGATGACATCCCACAATCTTTGTCGCTCTGATGCAAGCCAGTCGCCTCAGGTTTCACTCTGCAAGGAATCGTTTTTCTTCAATTAGACTGCAAGCTCCTTGTGGGCAGAGAGCTCGCTCTCTCTCTCTTTTTTTCCAATATAGCCACAGGACTTTGGAAAACATTTGTCACAAAACAGAGACGGACTCTTCAGTACTTAGCAACATTTAAATTTTAAAACCATCTTATTATTATCTTTTAAATTAGAGTATCCTTCCAATAGACCTTCAATCTAAAAGAAAAGCTTCAACATATATGAGTCCTGTCAAACACACTAATTTCATTGGGGTGACCATCCTTTATCCCCCTATCATAGCCATAGACCAAAGCAGTCAAATTTAGAAGAAATTACTCTCACAACCAATATATTTCAATCAAGGGCAAATGGGGCACACAGGGGAAGTCACATTAAATACAGTCATGGAGGAGATGCTTCACTTAGCTTCACAAATTATGATCTATTAAAAAGTCAGCGCCAATAAATACATCAGACGCACCAAACCGGTAATGTTTCCTAATATTAACATGTAATAAATATCAGTGTAAATGCATGCATGTGTACACCTATGGGTGTAATCCATGCCCAAGATTAACTTAAAAAGTAAGCCTCTAACAAACAGCTGAAGCAAAATAAATATGTAGTGACTATTCTTTATTGTAGGCTCTTTCTCAACGTCAAGAAAACAAAAACCTTGGAAAGGAAAGAAAGCTTCCAAAAAACACTCACTGAGCCAACTGGTAAATGACAACTGGACCCCAGCCCTGAAGATCAGAGGAAAGTCCTCTTCAGGTAGGAACTGGTTGGTGCTGGGAGTTTGAAACTTAGTTTTGTTCTGGAATTTTAAAACATTAATGCAGCCAATGGTTTAGCATCCCTTATACATGACTTTTTGTTTTTTCTCTGATTGGGTCCCCCCCCCCCGCCCCTTACCGCTGAAATGTCTTCTGTAAGAATTTAGGACCTTAAACTCTAACTGGCACTCAAGGGTATTAAATACAATTACACATTTTAAAGGCTAGTAATTTTACTTCCCCAGAACAATTACCATGCTTTCATTTAGACTTTTTTTTCCTTTTGAAAAGCTCTTTCTGAACGATGTCAAAAACCAAGATTGTCTCAATTGTGAATAGTTTCAGCTATTTATAGGAGATGGTAATTTACTTAGGGCTACGAAGCACATGAGAGTAAATGATGCACCCACATGTAAGCAAACAAGTTCACAGCAGAGGCCTCACCTAGTGAGGCTGGGCTAACAGGCCCTAAGGAAAGAAGTCTCCTGTTATCCGTTTCCTATCACTGAACAGAAGATGTGGAAATTGGATTTCCCTAAAGTGAAACCTCTCCTGAAAATAACCTTGACTAGATTCCAGGTGAGTTCCTTGTTATAAAATGGAATGACCCCTGCAACACGAGGAAGCAAACAGAAAAGCACTGACAGGAGCAAAATCTAGTTCTATCTGGTGAAATGTATACAAAGATGGACACCTCAAATTTAATTCTTAGCTCATCGAAAAAAAAATTGACATCCTATATGCTTATTGCATATTTCTGGATTTCTGGATTCTTTAGGAAATTAAAAAAAGAAAAGAAAATCTCCATTTAACTTTTACTTTTGTTAAACAAGCTTGTGTGCTTTCTCTGAATTTATTCAGCAAATATTCCCAGAGCACCCACTGCGTGCTACAATAGTGAGACAAAATGTCATACTTTTTACTTAGAACTAATAATTATGCCTTATTATTAAATAATATGATTTCTTTCTGAGAAGCTCAAAAGTCTTAGCTGAATGTTTCTTTGATCCTCACAACGAAAATAAAGGTGACGTAGAGAGTATGTTCATCTAATATTGGCATTTATAACACCTGGTTAGATTGGAAGTGATCTGATTGACATATCTTACCTCATGTTGAACAGATTTAGATCCAAGTCAGGGGGAGCAAAGCTCACACAAGACATCCTGCTGGTCAACCCACTGTACTGGATCTTTAGCCCCATCTCCCAAGGCCTTTGGGAGCCCTCCTTCTGTGGATGTATATAGAGAGGCTGCCTTCTTCTCCCCAGACTCTTCCTAGACACCTCCTGGCAACACCATCGGTAAGGACTTTCATCCTGGAAAAATGGGAATTAGCTAAGAAACACAGTATTTAAAGGCACTGTGTTTTTATGTGAGTTTTCCAGTTTGCTGACTACGTTCTTACAATGGGTGAAAAGGGAAGGGTCTAACAAGCAGCCCACAATTATTAGACTGAATCATATGAAGTTGCTATTTGTATAGGCCGAAATAGCTGAATATCAGTAATTTTATATGGCTAACCAAATGTTCCTGAAATAGAATTAATAAATAATCATGGGGACAAAAAATCCTTAAAATGAAATTATGGTTTAAGTATGATTTTACTACATGTTAATACAGAAATGATTTTTCCTCAGAAGACACCTCTAAAATCACAATAGGAGGGGCGCCAGGGTGGCCCAGTCTGTTAAGCATCCAACTTTTTTAAAAAATATTTTATTTTATTTATTTATGAGAGACACAGAGAGAGAGAGGCAGAGACATAGGCAGAGGGAGAAGCGGGCTCCCCAGGGGAAGCCCAATGAGGGACTCGATCCCAGGACCCTGGGATCACGACCTGAGCCAAAGGCAGACGCTCAACCCTGAGCCACCCAGGTGCCCCTAGAATAACGCTTTTTAAAACTCTTCTTGCACCATCTCTTTGACATTTGACATTTTCAATGCCATGCCCTTGCTTGCACCATCTTATCTCCTATTTCTATCCTCCCTTCCTCAACCCTGAACATCTTGTTCAATGTCAAGCTACTCCCTGTGTATACAAAAGTCTACTTCACAGTGAAGCCAGAACACAAGACCTGCTGTCATAACCCAACCGACAAGCCTTCCATGGTTAATGCCCCCAGATACAAGGCAAGGCTAAGCTCCTCAGCGTTCAAACCACAGCCACAATTGTACCACTCTGATTTTCCAGTATCTTCCCCCTGTTGACCCAGCTCCAACGTTACATTCTCCCTTAGATGTTCTGATGTCCTGAAGGAAAAGAATATCTCTGTCTTCTCCCAAAAGAGAGCAATGGGCCTCTGCTATGAACATTTACTCTATCTCCTTCATGAGACCATGAATTTCTCAAAGGCAAGGACCACACCTTATCCATCTCTACATTCCTTTGTGCCCACCATGGTAGGAACTTAAATGCTCACTAAAGCTCTTCAAATCCTCTGAATCTTTCCAGAAAAAAACCCAAGTGCACCAGTTTGTTAGGAAGCAATCGACCAAACTCAGCTGGGTAGTCCAGTGCAAAAGAACACAAGCATCATTTTTCTCCCCACAAGACAGTGTAAACTGTGCAACACAAACTATTTTAAGTACACTCACAGATTTAGGTGTGTAAAAGAAAGCTGGTGTGAATCCTTAATTTGTAATCCTCAGTTTCAAGGTCTGAGTGGCCTGAGAAGTCATTTAGTCCTACTCCAACTTTCACAGACCAGGAAACCAGGTTCTAGAAACACGAAGTGGTGAACCCGATGAAACATGGGGCAGCCTCCCTCACCTCCCAGCTGAGGGCTGCTCTTTTTCCTTATGCCAGGCTCCACTAATCTGTTAATTAAAAAAAAAAAAAAGGTATCTGCAGACATCAAAAAGAGAAGCATATACGGACTGGTATGTTTGTATTCCCAATGACTGGCTCAGTGCAAAAGTGCAATGCAGGTGGCCAGTCTACAAATATTGCTGAATGAACAAAGGAACAACCCAGGCCTTTGGAACAATAACTAACATAGGAAGAATATTAAATATTTCAAAGCACTAGTCAGACAATTAGTCTCCTAGGAGGAGCAGCAGAAGCTTGAAAAAGAAAGCAGGGGAAAAACCCCCAAAACAACAGAATGAAGGTTTGAAAAGGAACATCGTATACAAACCAAGCCCTATAAAAATAACTACTCTCACTCCCATGCAGGATTTTGGCAACATACACACTAACACAGAAGAGAATCGAGTCCTTGAATAGATATTTCTCCAAAGAAGCCCTCTAAGTGGCTAACAAGCACTTGAAACGATGTTCAACATGATTAGTCATGAGGGAAACCCTAATCAAAACCACAGTGAGATACCACTTCATGCCCACTAGGATGGCAATTTAAACGCACACACGCATGCATACAGACAATAACAAGTGTTGGTGGGATGTGGAGAAGCTGGAACCCTCTATACATGGCTGGCGAGAATGTAAAATAGTGCAGCTGCTCTGGCAAACAGTCTGGTGATTCCTTGGTGGGTTATATATAGCATTGCTGTGTTACTCAGGAGTTCTGCTCTTAGGTACAGACCCCCAAATTTATTTTTTTATTTTTTATGTTTTTTCAAAGATTTTATTTATTTATTCATGAGAGACACACAGAGAGAGGCAGAGACACAGGCAGAGGGAGAAGCAGGCTCCATGCAGGGAGCCCAACGGGGGACTCGATCCTGGGTCTCCAGGATCACTCCCTGGGCTGAAGGCAGGCGCCAAACCGCTGAGCCACCCGGGCCTCCCTAAGACCCCAAAATTTAAAACAAGTGTTCAAACAAAAACCTGCACATGGATGTTCATAGCAACACTACTCACAACAGCCGAAAGGTAGAAACAACACAAATGTCTATGAACTGATAAATGGGTAAGCAAATTGTGGTCTATTGAGGAAATATTATTCAGGGACTTTAAAAAAGGGACTGAGCTGTGGCTCCGTCAGGTGAAGTGTCTGCCTTCTGCTCAGGTCATGATCTCAGGGTCCTGGGATCGAGCCCCGCATCAGGCTCCCTGCTCAGGGGCGTCTGCACCCCCCTGCCCCCACTTGTGCTCTCTCTCTCTCTCTCAAATAAAGTATTTTAAAACAAATAAATAAAAAGCAATGAAATACTGATGCATGCTATCACATGGATGAATCCTTAAAAAAAAAAGATTTTATGTACTTGAGAGAAAGAGAAAGTACAAATAGCAGGGAAGAGTAGAGGGAGAGGGAGAAGCAGGCACCCCCTTCCCCCACCCCATCCGAGGTCATGACCTGAGCTGAAGGCAGAGGCTCAAGCAACTGGGCCGCCCAGGCACCCCCAGATGAATCCTGAGAGCACTGCTAAGTGAAAGAAGCCAGTCACCATACTGTATGATTCCATTTATATGCAATACCCAGAACAGAGAAATCCATAGAAAAAGAAAGCAGATTAGTGGTTGCCAGAGGCTGGAGTAGGAGGCTGGAGTCGAGGAAATGGAGAGTGACTCCTTAATGGGAATGGGGTTTCCCTTCAGGGTGATGAAAAACTTCTGGAACCAGATAGTGGTGATGGTTGCACAACATTGTGAATGTCCTTTTTTCCTGTTGTTTTTTTTTTTTTTAAACACTTTAAATATGTGCAGTTTACTGAATGTCAATTATACCCCAGTAAAGACATTTAAAAGAAAATAAAAGTGATAGGAAAAAAAAAATCAAGCCAAGATCCACAACAGCAACAATGAGAGGATCGCTTCTGGCTATATTACATCAGGCAAAAGAGATTAAATAGATGAAAGTATGTAATAGTAAAAAGTTCAATTCCTATTAGACCCTGTGTACCTACCAATATAAACTTACAAATGCGCATTGTTACATATTCACATACAAAGTTTCAATGCACAGAGTCTCAGAATATTTTCTAGCTCAAAATACAAGGAGAGAGTGACAAATCCCCCATGATAGTGTTATGTTTCCATATACAGATCTGCCTTGATTTATCTCATAGGGTGTCATCCCGATGAGTCCATATTAGGTTGAAAATGCATTTCATACACATAACCTATCTAGCCTACCTTAAATGTACCCACAACACTCGTATTAGCCTACGGTTGGGCAAAATCCTCTAATCCAGCGGGATGGGTGCAGGATGGGTGGCAGGACGGGTGGTCCCTCGTGGTCGCTGGCGGCCTGGAAGCTGTGGCTCACTGCCCAGCATCGAGAGAGGACTGAACCAGGACAAGATCCAACTTCAAAATCCCCAGGACAGTTTCTACTGAATGCCTATCACTTTCTCGCACCACTGGAAAGTCTACACATCGTCAAGTGGGGGACCATCTGTACCTCTCTCAATTATTGGCCTGTTAAGCAGACACAAAGTTAGTGAAGAATAATTCAATTAGTAAGGGTCATGGAATGGGTATCTGCGGACCTCTACAGGAAAAAAAAAATTAAAGCCTTCTCTAACACATAGGATGTGAATGTACTTAATGCCACTGACTTATTCACTTAAAATGACAACTTTGAAGTTACATATGTTTTGCTCCGATTTAAAAAAAGATTTGAGTCTTCGCACTGCCAGCTCTTTAGAAATATCCAGCCTGAAGATCTGCATTCATAAGGCGCTATCACAGCTCTCTCCAACAAGGTGGAATGTTCTGCTCTCCACATTCCTCTGCCGCCAATCCTGACTGCATGGATTGTAAACCCAGCACCTACTTTCTTAAAATAGGTTTCAATACTGGTGCTGCGAGCCTGGGAGGGGGTGGGGTGGGGGTGGGGACAAGGGCATTCATTGAGAGGCACAGCCTCCCGCTGGCTCTCCACGGACAGGGGCTACCAGCAGTGATTCCACTCTACTGACCCTGCTGTGCCAGAGCCTCTGTGGACAGAGGCTTCTCTGCAAGGGCCAGCAGAGTCCCTCGAAGATTCAAGAGGGACGGACGAGCTGCCGTGCAGCAGGGCCAGGGCGGCGGACTCATCCTCCCGAGAGCACGCAGGCAGCTACGAAGCCGATGGAAACTGAAATGCAATGCTGCCCTTGAGCAAAGCAAAGAGCTCAAGTTCTGGGATGCTCCTAGGATTCCCTGGCACCTACCCCTGAGTGGCCTCCGTGCCCCTGGCGGCTGTCCCACAATCATGTAGATAAGAGGCACCTGAACTTCTCTTCCAGAGGCTCCCCTGTTCTTCGCTCGGCTCCACCCGAACCTTTCACCTTGCTCCCTTTAGGCTTCAAGGCTCCACTCTACCTCCGTAGTTAGTTATTTGAGATGATCTTTAGAATCAACACAGGGTGCCAACTACAGACTCCTTAGGTGTCTGAGAACTTTGGAACTGGGGCCAGGTGTGTCTTCAGCTCCCATTGAAAGCTCACTTGATCTGCTTTTAATCAGTTTGGGCCATATGGCTGTTATCTAGATACGTCTGTGTGCCCAAAGATGAACTCAGTACTCGGCATGGTGAAGGTGGGGAGTCTCCAAAACCCCTGCATGAAGTAACCAGCGCTCCGTGCCCGCACTAACGTAGGCAAGGGGGGACGTCACGGGGCCTGACACACCCACATCTTCTCAAGAGCAGGTCTCATCTTCCCAGCCTTCTCGAAATGATTACTAGCCAAAGTTGCTCTGATTTTGAGTAACAGAGAAAATGTGTTGCTTTTAGATGATCAGCGTCCAAAATTTTCAAAGAAAAGCTCATTTGAAACGCTGCTACCAAGGAATCTATCCAGTCACTTAAAAGTGCCTATTATTGGCCTGGGCAAGATAACGCACCGGATTCCATACATACACCGTCAAGTTTGGCAGGAGAGATTTTAGACAACTTCCGTCCTTCCCACCCAATCCCAAGTAAACAGGGCATTTGTTTGTATTTCCACATTGGCCTCATGAACGAAAATACCTCCTCCACCTAGAAAAACAATCTCTAACATTCAAGCATGGAATTTGAGGGCTAACTTTTTAGTGCATGGGTCCCCAGTATGCTGTGCTGAAAGAAAGAAAGAAAGAAAGAAAGAAAGAAAGAAAGAAAGAAAGAAAGAAGAAAGAAAGAGAAAGAAAGAAAGAAAGAAAAGAAAGAAAGAAAGAGAAAGAAAGAAAGAAAGAAAAAGAAAGAAAGAGAAAGAAAGAAAGAAAGAAAGAAAGAAGAAAGAAAGAAAGAAAGAAAGAGAAAGAAAGACGGTAGAAACGTATCTTTAATAAACCTTTCTCCCGTGAGCATCTTTCTCAAGTTTACACTGACACCTGGCTTGGTGTTTCTGTATCTTTCAGAAATACAGATCAAAAAAAAAAAAAAAAGTTCTCCATTAAAATTGGAGCCAGAAGGACTTTTCTCCCTGCAACAGATCTGAACGTTTGTTTTACTCTCTTTGGAAGGGTGGTCGGGAGGGGGAGAGGCACCAAAAAAAATTACTTTCCTTTACTCACTGCTAAGTTTTGTACTCTATACCAACTATCCTGCCTGGCAAAGAGTTAAGAATTTTCTGAGGTTAGTTCCTGCGGTTTAAAAAAAAAAAAAAAGTCCGATGCTTAAATTTAGACTCCGTAAAACAATACTGGGAAACTTTCAAAGCCTTGGAGAAATACTGGAATTTATTGTATTGCCTTTTGTTAAACTGCATCGCACGGGCCACTGTTTCTTCTCCCTTTTAAATCCCTCCCGGCCCCCGACTCGCTCACGGCGGGTCCTGGGCACTCCCACCTGATCCGGCTACCTGCCGTGGTCGGGCGTAGGGACGGAAATCCAGGGGTCACCTTGCTCGGGACGCGAGTGTAACAGGTGGTTTAGGACAGGCTCCCCCCACGCCCTCCGCAGCGCGGGGCGCGGACTCCGGGACCCGAGGGCCGCGGCGGCGACGCGAGCGACGAATCTCCGCCGACTCCGGGGAGGGGCCGCGCGCCCGGGGAAGGTGTCGGGGGCGCGGGGCACCCCGCAAGCCCCTGCGCCCGGAGTCACACACGCACCTCGGACCACCTCTCACCCCCCAGCAGGCCAACCTCCCAGCCGAAAAAGCGCCGCGGCCCCCCCACGCCCTCCCCGACCTGGGGCGCACGCGAGCCCCCGAGCCCCCTAAGGAGGCGCCGGGCTCCCCCGCGGGTGAAGGGAGGCCGCCGGCCGGCGACCGTCCCCGGCGCTGCGCGTCCCGCCTGAGCTCCGGGAGGCCGCGGGGCGCGGCGGAGGAGCGAGGGGCGCGCAGCCGGGGCCGCCGCAGGCAGAGGGGGCGCCCTCGGGGTCCCGCCCGCCCAGCCCGAGCCCGAGCCCGAGCCCGAGCCCGAGCCCGAGCCTCCGTCCGCCCGCAGCAGACGCGGGCGCTCACCGACGTGCCAGGCGAGGCACGAGGGGGCGCCTTCGGGGTCCCGCCCGCCGCTCCCACCCCGTCGGGGACCCGAGAGTCCCTACTCACCTGGAAGGAGCCCCCGCCGCGCCTCCGGGGCCGCTGGTGCCCACGCGCAGTGCGCGACCCGGAGCCCTCGCGCCGCCTGCTGCCCGGGCCGCCCGCGCGCTCATGCCCGCCGCCGCGCGCTCACCTCCGCCCGCCGCGCGCTCACCCCCGCCCGCCGCGCGCTCACCCCCGCCCGCCGCCTGCTGCCCGGGCCGCCCGCGCGCTCACCCCCGCCCGCCGCCTGCTGCCCGGGCCGCCCGCGCGCTCACCCCCGCCCGCCGCGCGCTCACCCCCGCCCGCCGCCTGCTGCCCGGGCCGCCCGCGCGCTCACCCCGCCGCGCGCGCTCACCCCGCCCGCCCGCGCGCTCACCCCGCCCGCGCGCGCTCACCCCGCCCGCCCGCGCGCTCACCCCCGCCCGCCGCGCGCTCACCCCCGCCCGCGCGCCCTCCTCCCCCACTCGCCGCGCTCCCGCTTCTGCGCGCTCGCCGCCCTCCCGCGCGCTC